ATTCTAGAATTCGAGTCGCCACAGTTTTGTAAATTTATTTTGCTCCGTTGTCAGTTTTTTGTGTCGTTATATTTTGTACTTAAATATTTTGTCTTGTTTATTTTTCAGTTGAATCACACAGACATTACACACCCACGATCACTTTTGTTTCTCTCGTGTTTACGCCTAGTATCATTAAACTTGTGCATTCAAACTGTGACGTCTGTAGCGCTCACTAGACCTACAAGGTGGATGTCGTCTCGCTTAGAATCATGGATTCTGGTCTCACTCTGGGTGTTGATGATGAAACGCCACTAGTTTTAGCTGTCAAAGTATCTTTTAGGGTACACTCAAAGATATAACAATAAAAGAAACACCCTTATTTCCATTTTAGGCTTGATATTTGCCGGTCTCTCAAGTCCGGTCTACTGGTGCGGGCTCCTTTCCCGAACAGCAGCTGGTAATCAAGCCTATTCGGTTTTACGTGGTATATTTTGTTGCTTAAAAGATTGATCTCCTTTAGGGGTTTAATTCAAATTTTCCGCCAAGCATCCCCAACCTTTTCATATGGGAGCCTCCCCCCACCCCCTTCCCAGATATGTTTTCCAGGATATCCAGCAAGATTCTTTCATGAAGAAACTCTGTGGTCAGGTGACAAAATTAATGAACATCAACGATCAGTTTATTGCAAACTGCAAGTTTATTGCAAATGTTGAGTGTTGCGTAGATCTGCCTTGAGGAATAGAAAATATTCAAAGCAATAATATGTGGATCATGTACTTGTTCAAAAACAATAGGAACGAGCAAGTTTTCAGAACTATGAATTCCACAGCATCTCTTCTTCCATATTGCAATTTTTGTAGAAAACATGAATGTAACTTGAGCACATTGATTATCGTTTAGTACATTTTGAACGGTAAGATGTTTTCACGGGAAAATCTCAAACCTCGGCCTTGCTGTATTGACCTCGCTGTCGCTCAGTCAATGCGGCGAGGTCGTGGTTTGAGATTTTCCTGTAAAGACCTCGGTTAATTAGTAGTTACTGATGTATTGTATTAAGTATTAAAGTTCACGACAAGGTTCTTATCAAGTGAGTTATATAAGCAACAAGCCGAGCATTTACAATCCGAATAGCAATCGAAATCCTGCATCAAATAATGGACCTGTTTGATTAAGAAGTGTTTGAAGAATGAACTGTTTTTATTTTCTCTTGTTAATGATAATGACAGATGCATATTCAGAGGCAAAACGCCTTCCAAATAGAAGCTAAACCATTGTTGAAGTTCAAAATTTCATCTGATAATAAGCCCCACAAAATTCCCTTCCCCACGAAACAATAAGCTCTCCAAAAACGCCCCATTCTCGTCCCCATAGCCCTTTTCGCTTCTCTTAGCCGACGGGGCCTTGGTACGAGAATCGAAGGGCGTTTTCATTCTCGTCCCCATAGCCCTACCTAACATCGGAGCCAGATCAAAAGCGATTTTTGTTGTGTGATATTTTTACATGTTTATCCCTTGCATAAGGTCATTTGGAATAAACCGATACAACATATACTCCTTACAAATTACACGTTGGGCGAATTTGAAAACCACGAAAATGACCAGTTTTCTTTGATGATCAGGTGAGAATCCTTATGATCAATCAATCAATCAATCAA